CACATGATGCAAAAAATCAACGTTTTCATTGCAATGGAAACGCCACAACAACAAGCTCCACTAACCGCGTAGTTTCTGGTCAAAGGGAGCGCCCAGCCCGGTGTTTACGTCTGAGCTAGGTTAACGTTTTTGGGGGCTCTCGTGGTCTAGAGGTTATGGTGTTTGCCTCTCATTCAATACGTCCCAGGTTCGAATCCGGATAGCGATGGAACATTTTCTTCTGTAAAATTGTATCTTTTCACCCCCCCCCCTTTCTGCTCTCTAACCATATTTTGTCGTCTGCTTTCGTCTCAACTTCCTGCCCCCTCCCATTCTCGCCCCGTTGCCCCCTCCTCTGGGCTCCTGACTTTTTCTGCAGCTTTTTTACTGCCACTCCTCAACTCCTTCTCACAGCTGTCTTTCAGCCACACAACTGATCTTGTGGTGGGTAAAATCTAACACGTCCTTCTCGAATTACGGCAGAAAATCTCTGAGGTCCCATGTTGTGCAAGTTGCGCACATCGGCCGCCACCCGGACAAAATTCAAAATTTCCTATCAACTGAAAAATGTTTAATGTGTCTTGCGCGCTCATATGACCTTATGCAGTTGCAAGCGCTGTAAAACACTTACCAAATTTTAAAAAATTATAATACGCTGTAATAATAATAATAATAATAATAACAACGTGTAGATCTATAGCTCAAGGACAAATATCGACAACCCGTCTCACAGCCTTATACCCTGTGCACTCTGCAAACCAAATTCTTCGACTTGAATCAGTTGAATCAGGGCCAACCAATTTTAATTTTCATGGATGTGGCAGAAGCTACCATTGTTGCACAATACGAACAATTTGACAGGAGACATTGAATATCATTGAAAACTAACGCCTTTAGGCTTGAAGGTCACTGTCGAATCTTGTTGAATTCGGTCGTTTTGTGACAAATTGATAGCTTTTTCCCCATCCATGAAGGGAAATCTGGCTGGCCCCAGCTCATACTCACATCATCGATGAATCCGATTTGCTCCACATCAAGTGACAATTTTGTGTGACTGAGACCATAGCAACCAACTGACCGTTGGGTTGCCCTCTAGCCGCCGCCCCTCCC